AACGCATTTTTAGTTTGGTGTTCGATTGTCTATGGGCATTAGCTAATATAAAGTGAGACTAAATTAGTAATAATTTCTATTATTATAAATTCAGCTGCCAACAAATCGATTAAGTAACGAACCTGTTGACATCTAGATATGCTTGCTACATACATCACGCGATGAAATACAATTTATTTGGGTTAATTTTAAAACACCAAGAGATAGTGTTGTACTTATATCGATATGTTTATTATAAAATACTATTTAAAAAAAATCCAAGTTCTTACTTAAACTTTGTAATTTAAAAAGTTTCTTTGAAGCAAAAAACTTTAAAACACGAAAATGTCTTAACTCAATTTCCAATGTTAAAACAAAACTTATAAAAAATTAGCTATCGCCTGCGACTCCGTCCGCGCGAATTAAAAAAATACTTAATAAGTACTCTATGTGTTCTTCCAGATTATGTTCTACATCTATACTAATTTTCAGTGAGATCCATGCAGTCGTTCTAAGAAACATCCATCCATCTAAACATTCGTATTTATTAAGTAACATTGTATGGAAAGTAAATTCACGATAATCGATATATGCACCTCACTATTTTAACACCAGTGACTTGCGATCCATATCTAGATATAGTCCGGTCTGGATTTCGGCACTAAGTTGATCGATGGCCTCATGACGTGTTGTGCAATTTTAAACACTTTAATCTCGATCTCGTTATGCGATTACAAGTGACGAAATATAAGACAGGGAATTAGTAAAGATTACAAAGAGACAGACTTTAGTTATCTTTATATATATAATTCTTCTGTGCGTGTGTATGTCACTGAACTTCTCTGAAACGACTGGACCGATTTTGATGAATTTTTTTTTGTGTTCAAGGGGATCTGGGAATGGTTTAGATTCACAATTTTCATCAAATATTAACATCATATTAATTTATTCAAATTAAAGACGTCTGTCGGGTCCGCTAGTTGTTTATATAAAAAGATATGTACTAATTTAACCTGCAGAAGTGTTTAGATTAAAAATAATTTTAAGCTCCTTAACAAGCACGATACTAAACATTCGTAAACCCTGAGACTCTCCCTAGTCACGGTAAAAACTGGGGGGGGGGGGGGTAAAAACACGGTAAAAACCCGGGGGACGTTAAACTAAGTGTATTCGCTACGAAGCGATTCCATAACGAACTTTAAAAATGTATAAGAACTGACAATAACTTTGTCGCGCGTCAGTTTCATACTTTTTGAAAATCATTAGGTAATTTCGGTGCGAACGCACTTTGTCTAGTCTAGGTTCGTAAGACACTTAATATGTTTTTAAATACAATGTTGTAATATAATGTAATTACTTTTAACTTTGTCGTTAAAATACAAACTCAACTAATAACAGTCACCTACAGTGTCGCTTGACAATGACCGTTGGCGGCCATTTTGAAACACTCATAGACAATGACGTACGGCGTGATGCGGAATGCATTAAAACGAATAGCTCTAGCCATAAAGCCGACACGTTCATCTTTACTACACACCTATCAGCGGTCGTGCGAAATTTGTTATTAAAATCATCTTTACTTCCTTATTATTTTCTGTTTCGTGACATTCAATGATAATTTCTTTGATGGCATAATTATTCTGGTCTCTGCCTTCATCGTCTCCATATTTTTTTTAAAGCAACAATTAATTTTGTCTCCGTTGTTTTATCTTTGAAAGTGATTCTTAATCCGTAAGACACTCTGTTACTAGTGTCTGTTATTTTATGATAACCTGGTACTTTCCAGGAGCTGTTCGTGCCTATCAATACAAAGGGCGAGCTGTATGAGGTATGTCCCGAGGAGCTGTCGCCGGCGGAGTGGGAGGCGGTTCCGGGGAGTGCTGGGGGTGCGCCGCCAGGTGCCGCCGCGCGCGCTCACCGCCTGCCTCACCTGCTCAGCCTGTGGCCGCTGCCAGCGCGCGTGCGCCTGCTCGCCGGCACTGTTCCCATCGAGATGGCGCATGATGTTGGAGGTTAGTACATTTAACTAGTATCTACCTACAAGTGCCCCCTTTTATGTCCTACGAATATCGTACTCATGATAGTGAAAGATGGTTAATTGTTTGGAACTACAATAACTTTTCTTTCCTTAAAATCTCTTAGTTAGAAAACATGTTACGGTATTTCTAAATAAAAAAACTTTGAATTGCAGACGCAATTACAAAGATTGTAAAACAACTGATTTATTGATTGAATTTATTCATATAATTGCAGAAGACCTTCTCCTGCGAGCCGCAATAACAGAGCCCGTGCTGGTGATGTGCTCGCTGCCGGAGGGCGGTCCTGCCAGCCCCAGCCGGCCAGCGGAGGTACGACACCAACCGCGCGAGGCCCTCCAGCTGCTGCCGCTGCACGGCAACCTTCGGGTGCGTCGCACACAGCTCGGCTTCGACACTGAAAAAAGAATGTTCCTCTCCGCGCGTCTCCAGAAAGCTCTCACCTTCTGTCAACTCAACGTTGACAACTGGATCAGGCAGATCTCCTACGCCAACTCGACCCTCAGCAGCAAAGCGAAGACCGCCGAGGACCTTATTAAAGACCACGAACCGGTCAAATTTGAGAAAGAAAAGAAATTCACCTTGCAAGGACTGAAAATAGACCCGTCGCGATTGTTTGGCAAGAGTGAGAAAGTTCTAAAAGATATTCCCGACGAAACAGAAGGTTCTATTATATTTTTAAGCAAAAACGAACTCGAACACATGAACTACGACGTGTACAGCGAAGACGAGGGCAAGGATGAGAAAAGCGATGAGAAAGGTGACCAGGAACAGTTCACTAATGATAAAATGCATGTTTTCCGAGAAGATTCCGCTCAAAAAAAGACCAAATGGTTCAAGAATTTGAAACTACTTAAGAGCACAGAAAAATTAGACGATAAAATAACTGCAATAGAAAATAACGAGAAACAAAGAGATGTAAAAGATCCATTTGATCCTCTAGGTGAAAAACACAGCTCTATCGAAAGATATCAGGATATGGCTAAATTGATAGAAGATCGCTTCGGTGCTTCTAGAAAAAGCGATGGTACGGCTGAGAAGAGTCATTCTTATAAAAGTCTTACGACTTCTTCATCAGAGATGGGCACCAGCCAGTGCAGTTCTAATCATAAGAAACCTATTTTAACTAAATCCGTTTCAGTGCAGACTGGAATGCCTGATAGTCCATCAACGGAGGAAGACAGTGGAATAAATATGAAGCATGGTAGGAAAAATCTAAGCGTCGATCAAATTAATTACTGCGGCTCGATGGAGAGTAACTCAAGTTCAGGACGTAAACTGAAATCTTTGGACGAAAACATGCTTAAGAAATCATCCGCCACAAAATCATCTACCAACCTCGAGAGACGGCAAAGAATACAACCTGATTTAATCCCAGAAAAGGCGATCGCAAAATCAGAATCCTACAATCAAATTCAGAGCTGCGAAGACATTAACATGTTCGGAGCTGGTTCTATGTACAATGATAGCGACTTCGAAATTAATTATAAACAGCACTCATTTATCACCGAAAAGTTGTGTTCCGAGTTTCATGTGAAAACTAAAAGAGTTCTGAGCAAGTCCACCTCTAATTTGCTCCATCCTAAAAAACCTAATGAAAAGAAAGAGGGTAGTAACAGCAACAGTATGCCTACAAAAACTGAAAGATCGAACGACGGTGAAAAGCTTGTCAATTTCAGAAAAAAGATAGACAAGCCAAGAGCACCGACACCAAAGCCGGAGACAGAAGAAGACATAGCCCTCGACATATCAGAAGAACCACAGAGACAAGTTAAAATAAGAAGATCTATATCATCAATACAGAAAAGGAAACTGCCAGTGATAGAAGACTTACCTTACGGTCAAGTAGCAGACGCTGTTGATGATGAAGAAGAGAAAATCGAATCTGATTCAAGTTCTGATAATATTTACGCAGAGATATGTACCCCAAATGCAAATAAACCTACAGAAGAAGAGACGTATGATAATAGTATTGACGTATTAGCCACAGACCCTGTTATTTGCAACGTTAAGAAAGAAGTTAATAATCGGAATGATGAAAGAGCGAGACAGTTGATAGAAAATCAAGAGAATCCTTTTAGGCATATCGAAGTAGTTGTTATTGAGAAGACGACAGATTTCGAATTGGATAATTCGAGTCTCGCGTCCAGTGAATTTGACGATGGTGGAAGCAAAAATGACGTATCCATAACTGTCGATTCGTGGGAACGAGAGAAACCCTCGAGCCATTCTGATCCAAAAAATCATGCCATAAGATTAGAAATAACAAGCAACATGGAGGATTATCCAATCGAAAATCAGAAACATAGTTTAGAAATAAACGAGGTCCGTCTAGTTAAAGATAATTCGTTAAGTTTTAGCAACAGTATCCATTTGAATGGTACATATCCCAACGAGGCCATTTACGATACATTAAAATAAATTAGCTGTAATATAAATATATTTAGAATAAACTTAGTGTCACAAATCAAATATAATAGTCATAATTAAATATCCACGTTATAAAAAATATAATATCACGTCTTTCACTTTAAAAAAATTGTCTTCAATAAACTGTTTTACCGACCTTTAGTTCATTATCTTGACAAAAGATGGCAGGCTTTTTTAAACAACAAAGTAATAAAAACAAAAATTTCTGTAATTTTGTTAATGTGAATATTCGCAGACTATTTAATAAATATGTATTATTCATAGAAAGTGCATAAAATATGTTTATAACAGTATAGATAACACGGTGACAAAAGTATTGTCAGCCTTAATTCTAGATTTTAAACTTGTATCGCACGAAAATGACACTCCATAGGTTTTAGCGATTTATGTTCAGGTAATCTAATCATTTGATGTACTAAACATAGTAAGGTTACCAACCATAGTACCACATTTAAATCTGCATCTAATAGTCTACAAGAAATTTAGTTTAATTTTAAACCTAAAGTATGCACAACAGCAATTACAAGAATAACCGTGGGTTTCTGAGACCGAAATGCCCGTTTAAAACAAATTGTTATCTCTGTTTTCTCCAAGATTATGACAATGATATGTTTTATATTGATATTTTGGTCTCAGAAACCTACGTTAACTACCGCAGCGTCTTGTAGTGCTCACTTAATAGTCGCTTTCTAAATGTATATTAAGGGTATCCCTTGGTCGACTTTGAGAGCGGCTTAAATTCAATTCCTATGTCATACGTAGTTATAATTATAAAAAATCACTTAAAGAATTATTAATATACCGCATATAAGTCCAGAATATATTTGAATTTTTATCAAATATTACATTTTTCTGTTTTCTTTGAAGTATAAAAAGCAACACAAAATAAGAATGACAATTGGTGCTAAAAGGTGCTTAAAATAATTAGATTATTTATACTTGATACACCTTTAACCAATAATTTTAACTGTCAACATTTTTTATATTGGCAACACTTGTCTATGGTTCGAAAGTTGCCATATAAAATAATTACAGTTGGCTTTCTACTTATTGGCGTTTACGATAAATTCCTGGTGTAATAAGTAATTGAAAAAACTATTAATCACATTACAATAATGTATATTTGTATATAGACATAATATTGTATTATAAAGGCAACGGAACGAATTCGACTTTAGTCTAAAGTTGTCAATAGCTTAATAAAAAGATAATTTGTGAAAAAATAAACAATATAATAAAAATATAGCTTATTTATTTATCATATAATATTTTTTACAGTGTAATCATCAGCTAGCACTATACGTCACCTCTGAGGGGTTCGGAGCCTACCCTTTTTTTTTCAGAGGGGAATGCTTTATGCATACTCCGCGCCCCGGGGGGGACGCGGTAGTTATGTGGGATTCTCCTCCATAGCGGAGGCATACCCACTAAACCCCTCTGTTCCTCCAACGCATCGGGACGGGACCACGGGCACGCTTTCGCTCTCGTCCGCGGCCCTTCGGAGCCTACCCTAAGTGACTCCCCCCTCTCGCCAACGTAAGATTAGATGAGATTTGAATCGACCCCCTCCCCCCCTTAAACACCTCACGTAATTTATGACGGGATTCGGAACTAGAACCTGCAGATTACAAGACAAGTACAGCCACTGACGCTCTCAAACTCTCAGTGTATTAGGTAACATCCACTTGTATTGGTAATTTTAAGTGCGTTTCTTACTTTAATTTGTCATAATTCCAAAATTATGTAATTTTTATTAATTATTTCCAAATACTTACGGTGAAGGAAAACATCGTGATGCTGCACATATCTGAGAAGATCAAAGATATGTGTGAAGTCAACCCGTACTTGGCCAGCGTGGTTGACTATGGCCTAATCACCCTTAACTTAGGGTAGGCTCCGAGACCCTCAGTGGGGACATTTAGTGAGATATAATTCCAAAATTGTCTTCTAAAGATATAAATAAAAAACACATTTCGACAAATATACTGTATTTAATCAAATAAATTACAATTAAAATTAAAATATAAATTCACCGACAAATAATTTTCACGTAACAGTGGCTTTCAGATAAATCATAAAAATAATTTCATTAATTAATAATAAAATCATATAATATTAAAAAAAAATATAAACAAGATTTTGCAGAAACAAAATCATTGTGCGTTGACAAAATGAAATCTAAATTAATTTTGATATTAAAAAGAAAATCATTATTTTATAATATACAAGAATATAGTACATTAATATGTTTATGAGATTATAACTAAGTGACCTGCATTGATTGGAAGATGAAGACCAGATAAAGATCACAATTGGGTCTAATTTCCTAATTACAAAACGGACAAAGGAACATGTGGCATATAGAATGTTAGGTTAGGAAGTCTAGAAGGTTCTAGAAGACTGCTTTAAAGATGGAAATGCCACAAGCACCTTAACACTGGACACTAAATTATCAGTCGGAAAGTCACTAGTTTTAAGCGAGCCTGATCGATTGTATAATTTGGAAGACCGCAGATCCGCATACTACAAAGATAAAGAGAGCCAATAACCAGGGTGCTACGGGGTACTGGTCATCTTTTTCCTGGAAATAAAAAGAAAAATAATTGTTAATAACTCTTATATCTTAGTAATATTATAAATGCGAATGTTTGGATGGATGTCTGTTTGAATGTATCTCCAAAACACCTCAACAGATCTTAATGAAATTTGGTATAGATATAGATCATAGTCTGGAAAAAAACGTTGGCTACATGTCTTTTATTAATTCCGTGCGGACAGAGCCACGGGCAATAGCTAGGTTACTATTATATACCAGCAAAAAATGGATCAATTTTGAATCTTGTTTGTTTTTTTTGCCGTTGAATTTTATATTTACTATTTAGAGCTTTAAAAATTTATTTAATTGAAAACAAAACTATTTATAGTTTGATGTTATATTTAAAAACAAAACAAATAAAGATAAGTAATAGTTAATGATGCAAATATTCCAACAATCAAATCAATAATGATTTTATTCAATGTTAATTAGATATACTACAAAAACATTGGTTTCCAGATAATGCTTTATCATTAGGCTAAATTAGGCAAATAATCTAGATTATTATGTTTAAATATTTGTAGTAGCAACCTTGCAAAATTTTAACTATCAATCAGTATGATATGATGGCTGATAAAGATATTGAACTATAAAAAAATTTATAATTCATAAAAGATCTAAGAGACGTAATTATTCCTATGGAAAAAATGTACTTCAAACTCTGTACCATCTATCCATAGGGTAAAGAACCGGATATATCTTGTTTTACAGTAAATTTTATTTGTATAACATTTTTATTCTATACAGTAGTAACCTCCGGAGACATGGTAGGGGTGCGCATTTGACAAAAATAGAGTTTTGGGAGTTATGGAAGAAATGAACCAACAGGTGTTCTAGTAAAATTTTGCAAAGTGTCTACCGGGTAAAAATTGGACAAATCTGTGATGAATAAGGATTGAATTACCTTAGTTGTTTTAGGTACATTTCCTCGCATTGTGATGTTCTTGCTTGCAATTTCGTTAGCGATGCGCATTCTCTGTTTCGGTGCCATTTTATTTGATTAATAGTTATTTGTCCTGGAAATATACGTAACAATCCATTAATGACACAAATTAAAAATGCATTAAAATAATTTTAAATACAGTTATTTAAATCAATTTCATCAAATTACTAATGTTATAAATGCGAATGTTTGAAAGTATCTCTAGAACAGCTGTAGGGATGTTGCTGAAATTTGATATAAATGTAGGCTATAATCTGGATGAACACATAGGCTACTAATTAAGTTTTTTAATACCACGCAGACGGAGTCGCAGGCAAATAGTATCAAAAGTAACTAAATTTTAAACAAGTCTTAATAAACTTAAATAGGAGGATTATTCCTTGAAATCTAGGTAAAAACTTGAATATTGAAACAAAATGGTTGTTTAATTGTACAGCTGTAATTTGTGTTAAGTCTATTGCGACTATATTTCCTCATTATCTATGTTAGAACATCTGTTTCAACAAACTTTCACAAAATGATGACTATGGAAGAATTTATGTTATTAAAGAAAAACGATGCTAAGAATTTGTTAGTATATATTCCTTGTTCCGCAATTAAAACTCACCAAACAGGTATAAAAGGTCAATAAAATGCTTTAAAAGGTAAAACAAATTTCTTACAAAATGTGAATGTTTACAATACGTAAGCAATCTTGATATGAAGAAATCAATTTAATGTAGAATTTAAAAGCAAATATATCCACGATAACTCGATAAAGTTAATTTGTAACGGCATATTAGTGAAATCGACTGTTGCAATTGGAAAATGTTCTAGATTTTCCGTAACATAAATATTATGTTTTCAATTTTAACTATTCGAAACCATAAAAGTCTAACCAGGGATATTATTATACTAGTAATATTGATAACATAATAAATAATTAAATATAATACTTACAGTTTTTCCTAAGATTAGAGGCTCAAAGGCCGGACGCGCAAAGTTTAGTTGACACGTATATAAAAAGTGAGAAAAGAAGCGAAATCTCTAAAACGTCAACACGTCGCGATTGTAACGTCATTGGGACGGGTTCATTGCGCATGAGCAAAAGCGACACGCGTCCATTTTGTGTTACCCTATAAAAAAATATATGTTTTTCAAAAATTAAAATAATTAGAATAATTTAATTTATACAGTTGTAAAGGTAATAATTTAAATTATAAATAACGTATGTAGTTTAGAAATATTAAAAGTAGAAGATGCAAAATTTTTGATTGATGATTAAAATTGATATCCGCGCCATCTATAAGTATTTTCTAAAACTATTAAAGAGATTTGGCAACTTTTTAGTTCTTTTAGAGTGTTTGTCATGATGGCGTGTAATCCAATTTTAACAACCAATTAACAAATGGCGATAATTAATTAATTGAAAGTGCTTAATAAAATGAGGTTAGTAATACACAGAGTTAATTATGGTAGTTAATGTTATTGGCATTTAATACAACAATATGCCATTAAAATAAAATTTTATAATAATAGTTTCAAATGATCTCAAATACGAATATAAGTATACTTGTATTTAAAAAGAAAGTATATACCAATTTATTCTTATTAGATATTACTGTTAGATGTTATTCTAATTGGAAAAATAGGTTAATTTCGATTATAAAAAAAGATTAAAAACTTATTATAAGAATAAACAGAATATTGGAACTAGTTTTTAACTTTATTCGAAATGTTACTATCCAGTTTTGTCGAACTTTTGTTTTGTTCAAAGAATGATTCACACGCTTTAAAAATTTGGAGCTAACTGTAGCTATTTAATTACGTTAAAAACAATCATATTTTATTAATTTACGTTATTAAACTAGATTAAATCTTCAATAATCTATTATCGAGTTTGTAGATAACGTAATAAAAAATAAACATAGATTATAAATCTTATAAAATGAAAATCGAGAAAATCTTTTTAACCTTGCTTAAAGTTAGACAAGGATGGTATTATTCGAAGGCTTATAGTTAAAATAAGATGAAAATATTTTATAAAGGATGACAGGATACTGACGTGTTTGTAGGCGACCAATCAGAGAGCTGGTTTATCCTTGAAGGGAGCTCTATGGTTGTGCATTGGCGGGCAGAGACAACGCCCTTTGATCGTACCGCCTCTGTTGAGAAGTGGAATTCATTTGAATTCGTAAAGCAAAAGAAGGAAGATTCTCAAATAGGGTGGGATGTTAGATATATATGTTTTTACTTATAATATTAGTAAATAATTAAATATTTAGTATTACTGATGTATATTATCTATTCAGATTTTTATTATTTTTATTAGTAGTAAAGTTGCTTTTTTTTATATCATAAGGTGGCAAACGAGCGAGCGGTTACCTGAAATCGCTGAAATAGCGAAGTGACCGTTGCCCATAGACATACGCAATTGCATATGCGTTGCCTACCTTTAATCGACGGAGGAGAGGATGCACAGAAAGAGAACATGTCCATGCATCCTCTCATCTGGAAAGTCCACTTACACTTCCCATCCTTTCCTTATAAGAAAAAGTGGGAAGGGATAGAGGACTAAATTAGGCCTCCGGGAAGCACACTCATCAGACTGTACGCGGAATAGCTTCCACTTGACGCCTGTCTTCTGTGAGGTCGTGGTATTTCACCGGGCGAGCCGGGCCGATTCGTGCGAACATGTTAAAGCGGGCTCTACCACTGTTTAACTGTTACTTTCTTAATACGATGTTTTTTTGTTTATATTAACTATATCAGTATAAAATGATTAGCTCTTATGTTTTGTAATTATAATTCGACACGAGAAAACCTTACTAATATTATAAATGCGAATGTTTAGATGGATGGATGTTTGAAGTTTTCTCCGGAACGGCTGAACTTATCTTGATAAAATTTGGCATACATATAGAACATAGTAGTACTAGAAGAACACATAGACATATACATACTAATTATGTTTTTTTAATTACGTGCGGACGAAGCCGCGGGCGACAGCTAGTTTTTTTATAAAATGTCTTCATTTCTTTCGAATCTTTTCTTTATAGCCTCAATAGCTATCCGTGCGCAATAGCTATTCTTCAAGACTATGTTCTATGACAAATTTCAGCGAGATCTATTCAACCGTTCTAAAGGTACCTGGCAACAAACATACTTCCAAGCATTTCCCATTTATTATATTAGTAAGATAAGATATAATCTGTATAGTTACTTATTATTTTAATCGTTTAATCAATTCCGTATTTCACATCTCTGCCGATCTCTTGTAATGCTTAGCGTGAATGTAAACAATATCCGTCAACCGGCGCCAGACTTCGCAAATACCGTCCTAACATAACAACAGTAGGGAAAGTTAACTTTGATTTTTTGCGACTTTTAACTTAACACAGATGTTGATTTATGAGAAAGTATTTCGTTTTAATTTAGAGAAGAAAAAAAAACTTGCTTATTACAAAAGTTCTGGTTTGGATTGATCTGTGCTAAAATACAGGGCAACCAGTCGGCAGAGGCTATAGCGGCCTTGAAGTCTAAATAACTTCTTAAAAGTATAATGTAGAAGGCAACGGGAAACCAGTGCATAATTTATTCCCTAGTCATCAGTTCTCCATGGAATATGGAGAACTGATCGCCAACCTTCGCTAGTCAAGGCAGTCAAGAAGAAGAAGAACTTCCTTTATCTGTCATACATCGTAACAAACATGCAGAATTTATTATAGTAAAAGAAAAGGGCGGCCAATCTAAGTGACGAGAGAAAGGTTGCAAATGGAATGCCTTAAGGACCGTACTACCTTTCCTGTATGTATCGCCCTCTGCCAAATATACTACCCTGTCTTTTAGATTGCGTGTTACTTAAGTACGTCTCACGTATTTGTTATTTTCTCTAATACGTATTGTTACATTATCATTGCAGATCTAAATTCCCTTTTACGCTTTTATTCTTATGTTCTTTGTTCATTCGATTGGATGTAACGCGAGTAACAATATATAACAAAAGTGAAACTGTCCTCGTGTATCCTTTGTCGCAATTCTAAATGGGTAATAGAAATAGTAGGATTTACTCAGTGATGTGTGAAATCAACTTAAACAAAACTTACAAGTTTAAAAAGATGCGCGTCTATGATATAAAGATTGTAAGTCGCTTAAATGGACTATTTGTATTGACGTTCATTTTTAAATAGTTTTTTTTTTCAGTAAAGAAAAACTACTGGTACAAACTGTTTAGTTGGTTGTTCATAAATTATCATCAGCTCACTGTACGTCCCTACTGCGTGACTCAGAACCTACCCTAAGTTAGGGGTGACAGCCATAGTCAACCACGCTGGCCAAGTGCGGGTTGACTTCACACATACCTTTGAATTTCTTCTCAGATATGTGCAGCAACACGATGTTTTCCTTCACCGTAAGAACGTCGGATAAATGTGCATATGTAAATCGAAAAACACATTGGTATATGATGGGATTCAAACCCAGGACCTGCAGATTGCAAGTCAAGTGCTTGACCCCTGATCCACCGACGCTCTAATTCATAAATTATGTCGTTATTTTTGACTTCTTACTTATTTTAATAATATTATAAATGCGAATGTTTACATGGATGTTTGTTTGAAGATGTCCCCAGAATGTCTCTTGATAAAACTTGGCACAGATGTAGAATAACTGGTCTGACTAACATAGTCTGAAATAACACATAGGCTTTATTTTAATTCCGCGCGGACGGAATCGCAGGCGATAGCTAGACAGTTATAAAATATTATTATACGTATTAGTTTTGCTTCTTCGTATTATGCTAAAGTTGACATAAGAAAGTTTAAATTTTATAATCAAGTCAAATCCATATTGACCCTAGAGTTTATGTCATTATTTTCGTATACTCATTGAAATAAAATTCGTAATGTAATTTAAATTCGCCCTTGCCCTTAAACAGAATCTATTTTAATCCGGTCAAATTAAAATAAACGAGACGAATTAAAAAAAAAAGTTATCGACACCACAAACAAAGGCAAGCGCATCCTATATTCTTAACACATCACTGGCCATCGACAAAACCGCCATTAAATTGGATTTGGGTGCATTTCCCGCCAACGCGGTCGCGGCTGTGTGGCCGACGCTCGCTCCTTGCATTACGTCAGAACATGTCAGAACTCTAATCAGCCGGAATGCTGGCTTTCTGCGCACGGGAGAAAAAAAAAATTGCGACCTATCAACCTCTTTGGTAAGGTCTTAGTAAATATAAAAATAACTCTTATTACTTTAAGATAAAGGTTAAATTATCTTTTAATAACTGTTTTAGTATATTTGTGTTTCTTCTTTGTAAATTTTAAAAAGGGTTTTGTGATTCTAGTTAAAGAATTCTGTTGAAGGTTTTATGGCTGCCGTCTATATTGTATTGTAAATTTTCGAATTTATTTAGCAATGTTAGAAATATGAGTTTTAAATTTACTATCATATTAATATGATATACCTAATAATGCAAATATTCGGCTGATGAATGGATGGATGGTTGTTAGAAGATATCTCTAGAAACGCTGCACGGATTTCTCAGAAATTTTCATATAACACAAAAGCCTATGTTAGTAGCAATTAATTAAGTTTTTTTTAAATCCCCGTGGTCAGAGTCGCGGGCGACGGCTAGTATAACCTATAACATAAAGCTATTTAAAATTAAATATTTTTATTGGCAGTAGCTGATAATGTACCTTTGCCTTTTTTCTAAAAAAAAACAAGACAATAGACAAAATAATTAAAACCAACAATCCGGAAATAACCGGTCAGATAAACCATAAACTTTGGAGCCGGAATTAATTATCTGTTGCAAAATGGCGCCAAAATCTGCAGACAGTCGGCGTAGTAACAGATAATCTATACCTTTTTGTATTTGGAACTTCTGTTTGCTGTCTGTATTATTATTTTCTATTCCTTCACGCACGTTTGAACGGATTTTATATAATCCTTTGCGACTGGAAAGATAAACATTTCGAGATAATTTGTTTTGTTTTCCTAGTTAACTATGGTTACCTAATCTATGACGCTACCTTTACGATAAAATGAATTTTCTTTAAACGTACGCAACAAA